AGCACACCTCGCTTTTTTCAGACCGATGAGCTTTGTAAAAAACAACGCGTTTCAGAATGGCGGGGCATAGAGGAGAAACAATAATGTACAGTATGTGGAAAATAATGTGTTTTTTGAACCTTAAACTGCATAAACACATTTCATTACACCAAATACACAAAATAATGTTCTTTTTAGCAGCATCATATGACCCCTTTAATAACTTTAAAGGGGACATAACACACAACAGTTTCACCCAATCTCATGTTGATCTTGAGTACCTATTGAGTAGTATAGCATCGTTCATAGCTCCAAAGATTCTTTAGTTGTATCATATTTATAAAAGAAAAATACAGCTTTCCGATTCTCTCCGAAAACAAACGAGCTCCTGGAGGCGCGCCGTGGGCGGAGCTAAAGATTGACAAGCACTTGAGCTCCCACTGCCAACAAAACAGACATTTGTGACCCTGGACCACAAAACCAGTTATAAGGATCAATTTTTCGAAATTGAGATTTATACATCACCTGAAATCTGAATAAATAAGCTTTCCATTGATATATGGTTTGTTAGAATTGGACAATATTTGGCCGAGATACAACTATTTGAAAATCTGGAATCTGAGCGTGCAAAAAAATCAAAATACTGAGAAAATCGCCTTTAAAGTTGTCCAAATGAAGTTCTTAGCAATGCATATTACTAATCAAAAATTAAGTTTTGATATATTTACAGTAGGAAATTTACAAAATATCTTCATGGAACATGATCTTTACTTAATGTCCTAATGATTTTTGGCATAAAATAAAAATCAATAATTTTGACCCATACAATGTATTTTTGGCTATTGCTATAAATATACCCAAGCGACTTAAGACTGGTTTTGTGGTCCAGGGTCACATTTGATGCAGTTTCACTTACAGTCTGCAGTTCTGAATCATGAAGGGGATCCTTTATAGCTGGGACCGCTCCATCCTTCAGTATCAAACAATGTGCTAATCCAGCATGGAACTGGGCCTTGTTTATAAAACGTTAGTCAACAAACACGCTTGTGAAACTGCATTGCTGCTCCGGAAAAACAAACTGCATCCACTGTTTACATAACATTGAGTTCTTTAGGAAGCTGAACAAAGTTATCTTTCCCTTACAACCAAAAACACACTTCTTTGGAGACATTCTTCCCAAGCGAGTCCAGTGCAGCACTGCTGAATGAAGCGTGTTGATTGGCGAGCTCTTGCTCTTGCTCTGGTCTATGCGTGCACGGGCGCGCTCTTCCGGGAGAAATGCCCATATAAGGAGTTCCTCCCTCGTTTACGTCATGAAGGGCCACGATCGAAAAAAAACTCTCCGAAACGTGTACGAACCCGGAAGTAAGATTTTTAGCACAGAAATACTCCTTTATACCTCCAAATCGTTTTTTGAAATTTTGTCCATGCTTAGCATGAGAATCCAACTCTTTAACAGTGTAAACAACTCTGAATGCATGAAACAGCATTGCACCCCCTCTTTAATGTACTTAAATTGTGCACCAGACACTAGGAATATATAAGTATCAGAACGGGACTTGGTATCGGCAGATACTCAGTATTCACTGACTTGGTGGCACAAAAAACCTGATCGGGACATCGCTAATTTTATTTTATTTTTTGTATAATATACTCCAATGATCTTTATTTTGTTTAAAACATTTAAAAATCTTTTATTTTTTTCAGTGTGCAGGACTATTTAAGTGAATTGCTAAATTTTCAATAAAATTTCAAAGATTTCAATTATTTAAAAATTGTATTTAAATAATAGCATTATTATTTTTAATATTGCTATCTAGAAATATACTTACAGTATATAAACTTAGTCAGAGTGGCACAAAATGTAATTTATTTAATAATGAAAATGAGGCTGAGGGATAAAATGCAGTGTTTTTAATAGATTAGTACTCTTTTTAACAACATTGCAATTATTCAGCTGCCAATATATTGCCCCCCCCCCCCCCCCCCCCACA